AAAAAAAAAAAAAAAAAAAAAAAACCAACCAGGCGTGGTGGCACTCGCCTATAACCCCAGCACTCGGGAGGCTGAGGCAGGAGGATGGTTGCGAGTTTGAGGCCAGCCTGGGCTGTAAGTGAGTTCAAGAACAGCCTGAACTGCCTAGCAAGACCTTGTCTCAAAAAGACAAAAAACCCACAGCTGCCAGAAATCTGCGAACTTTATGAGTATACGTAAAGGTACTACAACCTCCACATGAGACAGCCCCGACGCGGAAGCTCTCACCTCGTCGTCTGAGTAGTTGTAGGCAGATGCGACAGCCACCCACACTTTACTAGCGACTGTGGCTGCCTGCTTCATACTGGACTTTAGGACGTCGATCTTGGGCCCTGAGAGGATGTTATCCAGCTTCAGCCCTGACAAGGAATTGACCACAGAGCCCAGGGAGCCGTGGGAGGAACGCATCAGTGCTGACAAGGGAGCTGAACGATCTCTGTGGGTTCGACGCGGAGTCTGGTGCTTGACTCGTGCGGTGCACGTCTTCGACCTGGACACCGCAGAGCCGCTTCCACTCTCAGGACTTCCTCGCGCTGCTGGACCACGATCCAAGGGTAGGCTTGATCTCCTCTCTAAAGGGTGAATGCATGCCGTGCTACTGCCAGGGTCGCTGTTTCCCTCTCCGTGCAGCTCCATACTAGAAGATTTACTGCCCAGTGGACTTTTCAGGTTCATGTAGCTCTCAATTTCATCAGCCAAGTTCCGAGTAACAACTGGAGAGAACACCTTATCCTCAGAATCAGGAGTCGTCTCTTTCACACACTCTGTGGCTAAGAGAGACAAAGGATCCAGTCCAGTTTCAACATCTTCCCTCTCAGCAGCCTTAGCAGCGCCATACAAGCTGTTCCTCTTCGGCACGAGCTCTGCAGCTCCTGTTTTCGAGTCTCTGGACTGACTGCTGTCGCTGTCACTCTGTAGACCGTCCCGCGCCGCCGCCGTCAGAGCAGTCTGCGCCACACTGTCACCAGCCACAGGCTCAGGGAGCTCTTGGCCTTCCTCCAGCATCTCCAGCACAGGAGGTGCCCCGGGCTCAGAATCCCCGCGGGTCCCGGGGTCCGTCCGCGGGCAGCTCGCACCCTCAAAGCTGCGGGTTCTCGCCGTGTGAAGCGGGGGGGCCCTGGGGCAGGTCAGGGCAGCCGCGAGGATCCTGGCGTCTGCGCCCATCATGACCGCCGCCTCTCCCGAGTTCAGATCCAAGCCGCTCCTCTTCAGCAACATCCCCGCTCGGCTCTCGGAACTAAAGCTGCAGCTTCTCTCCGAGAGTCGCTTCTGCCTTTTCTCTCCTCTGTCACCACTCTGCTTAAGACTAGCGGCGTCAGCAGAGGCTGTATCTCCAAGTGGGTTTTGAGTAGGAAACAGCATGTCTGGCGTACTCCCTAAAGGGAACAGTACAGTATTAAAGATGAGTCTCTCCTGCCCAGCGTAACTTACATAAAGAGGGTTACACATTAAGAGTAAGATTCACCGCACGCCTGTAATCCCAGCACTCGGGAAGATGAAACAGGAGGACCGCCACGAGTTCAAGGCCAGCCTGCACTGCACAGTGAGACCTCGTCTCAAAAAAGAGTAAGATTCACCAAGTTTAAGTGGTACACAGAAAAAAGAAACCCCAAGAAACTTCATCAACCCTGCCTCCAAGAAATAACATTTTAATGTAAAATCTGCTTTCATCTCCTATATATATATGTACCCATTAAAAATCATACTGATAAGTTTTAATTATATTGTTCACTAAACATACCTCATTTATTCATAAACATAGGTCTGTTCTTACTTCTCACATTTTAAGGGTCATTTAAAAAACATTCTGCATTAAATAACCTCAAATGAAATAACCCCTTATTGTCTTAACATTCACATATCCTAGTCGGAGGGCTGAGGATGCAGTTCTGCGGCTGCACACTTGCCTATCACCTGTGTGACCCTGGGTTTGATCCTCAGCATCACAATATGAGAAACCAAATAAATAAAGGTCAGAAATCTATTCTACACAAAGCAATTTGTAATTATGGAGGAATCAGACACTTGTCATAGCCAAAGCACTACCAGTCCACAGTAAAAACTTGGGAATTCCAAGGTTTACAAACCCTTCTGCAGATACACATTTGTGTTCATGTGTATTCATTCCTCCAACAAATACCTGAACGCCTACTAGTACACACTGTGTGCGCTGCAGGAAGAACAACGGCAGGTGAGAGAGCCGAGTCCAGCTGCTGGACAGCAGTCTCTCATTCAGTAGGCAAGGCCCCACAGAGGCCTTAAGAGCCCCGTTCTCTGGGGGAGGAGGGGGCACACCCTCCCCTCCCCTCCCCTCCAGCGGCGGGCTTCCCCCCAGTACCCAGGGTCTGAGCCTGCACCTCTCTGGGATGTGATCGCCTCACTCCTGTTTTTGAATACGTGTGACCCTACAGTACTCGCATTACCTACAACGAGAATAAACAACCTGGAAACAGTGACTATGACAGAGGACGTTCCAAGTAACAAACATAAATACCCTCTGTGTAACAAATTAATTCCAGGTTGTCCCTCTGTATCCATGGGAAATGGTTCTAGGTACCCCTGCAAATAATAAAATCACAAACGCTCAAGTTCCTTATGTAAAATGGCACAGTACATGCTATATAACATTCATCCTCATGTATGCATTAAATGATCTCTAGACTTCTTAAATTACCAAAAATGTAAATACATCTTTACATATTGAACACAAATGTAATTTTTCTCTAGTATTTAACCCACGCAATGACACTTTGTTTGGGGAAAGGGCTGGTGCTGGGGATTTAACCCAAGGAGCTTTGAGCTGTGACTCAGCTCTTTCACCCTGATTCTGAGACAGGGCTCGCTAACTTGCCCGGGCGAGGCTCCCACACGCATGCTTCTGCTCTGCCTCCTGAGCAGCTGGGACTGCAGTGTGCTCCCCGCACATGACTCCGACTGCACCTTTCAGTAACAACGGTCTAACTTTTCCTGTAGCCCATTTATAGGAATTAGACACATTTCTGGCCTTTCAGCACGTTCACTACAGCTAAGTTAGTATCAGTAAAGACAAATGTCTACGCATAGATGTAAACTCTAAATACTTCATAACCAACATCTAAAAGCTCACCTGTGCTGCTTTTCCTGCTGCTGCCATCAAACGTGCTGGACGGGACTTTCACGATGCTGCTGCCCCAGGAAGGGGGCTCAGAAGGGCTCTGGGGCTCCGGACGAGGCTGTGAACGCTTCGTTTTAGGAGCACAGACCTCACGCACCTCTAGGAAAAAACATGCGGATGTTGTTATTCCTATTTTTGATGATAGTGAAAAGAAACCATATATAGATTTTTATATACGTATTTTTTTCTTAAGTGGAGAGTAAATATGTAACTATTTTATTACTGTTTTTCTGTGTCTGGTTTCCTTGACATCATGTGTCACCAGGATTGACTCATAAATATTTTAGCCTTCAATAACCCTAACTTGAGTGTCCTTGAGGGAATCACCCGAGCCTCTGGCCTCCTCTGTGAGTTCTAGTTCTCACCCTTCAGCAAGCAGGAGAGGGACTTGTTTCTACACAGCATGAAAGAACACGGGCGTCCGCATAGCAGGACAGAAGGAACATCACAGCACCATAAAGATGCTCCTCCGTATTTCCACCAGATTATTTTAACAAATGATTTACATCTCCACGACGCCCGTTAAAAAAACAGGAATATGACACAGATTATTTTTAAGCCACCAATGAAAAACATCCTCAACTATTTGAAGGGCTTTTAGTGAAAAAGCATCTTAAAATAAAAGAAAAGTTTAAATACAGATTTGATGACTCAAAAACTTGGTCCTGGGTTTGTCACTCTGCAGCCATGTAACTCTGACAAAAGCACACCTCAGTGGATTGTACTTTCCTCCAAATATAAGAGCAATCTACATTCTCTGTGGGCCTGTTAAATTCTAAACCTCAGAGACTATCAAAATCGGCCATAATAGCTGGGCACGGTGGCACATGCCTGTAATCCCAGCACTCTGGAGGCTGAGGCAGGAGGATTGGTGCCAGTTTGAAGCCAGCCTGGGCTACAAAGTGAGCTTAAGGCCAGCCTGAACTGTACAGTGACACCTGTCTCAAAATGACAAAAAAAAAAATCTACCATAAAAACAGTACATAATTACCTTATAAGATAGACCTTACATTTCTGAAAATTATAACCAAGTATCAAATAAGATAAACTTTAAATTATAACATATTTTTCTAAGAATTCATGTATCACTATACAACCTTCTTTTCCCACTTTTGTTTTAGTTATCAATTCTTGTGCTACTTCTTCTTTGGGTACATGAATTCCATCCTTTATAAGCTCATCCTTAGACCCATATCCTTGGTCAGACTGGCCACCTGTGGAAGAGAATATGGCTCCATAAATATTTTGTTTAATCAAAAGAAAAGTCCACTGATCAAGCCAGGCATGGCGGCACACACCTGTAATCCCAGCACTCAGGGAGCTGAGGCAGGAGGCCCACCAAGAGGTCGAGGCCAGCCTGCAATGCACAGCAAGACCCGGTCTCAAAACACAAAAACGCACACCCCCCACAACAATAAAATCAAAAACAAGAAAATTTCACTGATCTACACAATTAAAAGTAAGAAAAGGAAGACAGTAGGGCCCACGGATGCAGGTAACATTTCAAGAGCAGTGATAAGCAAACATTAGCAGAAACAAGAACATCAAAGACCAGAAACCATTCCACATTTCAAGTAGTGAGCTTTAATTTCCTCATCTGTAAATTGAAATATCTGGGCAAGGTATTTTTAAAGGGGGCAATCTACAGACACTCTCCAATGTCCAGAGATTGCTATCTGTTCAGTGCGAGAGAAAAGTCCATGAAAATAAGAAAAAAGGCAGTGAAAAAAGAAGGATAAATCAGGTAACAAGAAAAATGGTTACCTACAAAGAACGGAGGAAAACAGGATGAAAAAATAGGGAAGAAACTTCACGAAGGGTTTTACTGTGCTTCTGTCTCGGTGCTGTATTTCTACGTATTCAAAAGCTGAGACACACAGAGGGAGCTAAAACTGCACGCAAGTGAAGCCAGCTGTATTTCACATGAAGTACACAACCCGAAAAGGGTCACGAGGAAACTGACCCAGTGAGTGTGAGCACTCCTCACAGGGGGCGGGTGTGATGGTTCTGAAATTATTTTATGTACATTGTAGGACTAAGCAAATGAGTAAATGTGATGACGTCGGCAGACGATGTTTTTATTTTCTGACAATATTGTCACCAGGTGGGGAAGACAGATTTTTCCAATAATAGGAGTTGGTTCTGGGGCTTCATACTGAACTATATTCCTAGGCTTTTTACATTTCTATTTTGAGTGAGAGTCTCACAAAACGCCCAGGACGGCCTTGAACTTGCCATTCTCCTGCCTGTCTCCAGAGCACCTTGGATTACACGCACGAGCTACTATAACCAGCAGATTTCTGTTTTTTGAATGGATTGAGGAAAGGTGAAGAATCTTAGTGAGGCTGATTTGAAATTGGAGGTACTATATTTCACACACACACACACACACACACACACACACACACACACACACAGAGTGTGGCTTTATTAGAAGTCTAGAATGAGTTAACACCCTGGTATCAACGAATGCAACTTTGACCCAGATCCAGTTTCAGAAACCTATTGCTGAGACCCAGCTCTACAATGTATTCCTGCCAGGCATGGGGGCCCACACTGGTAATCTAGCCCTCGAGTGGCTAAGGCAGAAGGATCTCCACAAGTCCGAGACTAGTCTGGGCTACACAGTGAGTTCAAAGCCACCCTGAACTATATAGTAAGACCCTGTCTCAAAAATAAATTAAATAAATTAAATAAATCTATTCCCTGTTAAACAAAAGGTAAGGTCCTTGAAGAAATGGCTGATTCCAGAGCCGAGTCGGGGAAAGTACAAGAATGAGCGCAGAGCAGTTCGCTGCACCAGAAAGGAGACGCTCATACACATCATGGGAGCACCCAAAGGACAGGCGCCTGTTCAAAGGAGCCCCTACTGGCCAACACTGGGATAATTTAAGGATCAAATAAGGACAGTATTACTTTACAAATTCACTGAGTAAAACAGGAATCCATAATTTCTTGAAAAAATAGGCAAGGGAAATTCTTTCACACACTAGAATGCCATCTTCTAAATGTGGAAGCAAACCACCACTCTGAACCGTCAGTGAAGCTTAGTTAGGGCAAGCAGCAACGGGTACTAAGTCTAAGGGCACAGTAAAGAGGTCCCAGTGTCTCCTCACAGACAGTTTATCTTCTTCAAGGGGTAAGAGATTAACAATGCTCAGGGAAAACAGACTGCACTGAGATCAAAACTAACATCACTGAGAGAGACAGTGCTTGACCCGGGATGTGACAAACTAGGACACAGCGCTGCTTACGTAGCATACAGATGTAGTCATAACCTGACCTAATTATACTACTAGACAATTTCAAATTAAGCAACGTTCTACAAAATAAGCAAAATGACTTCTTCAAAAAGGTCAAGGTCGTAACAGAAAAAGGCTGAGGGCTGTGCCGAAGTTAATAATACTACATAGTGGCGGCTGAGGCAAGAGGATCGTTGGGAGTTCAAGGCCAGCCTGGGCTACACAGTGAGCTCAAGGCCAGCCTGAACTGCAGAGTGAGACCCTGCCTCAAAAGGACAAAGAAAAAAAAAAAAAAAAACCCCACAACTAAATAGTGGAGATTAAAGTACAACACTAGAACAACTGACAAAATTGGAATACAGACTACAGATTATGACAGTATTTCAACGTTTTGCTGAATTTAGTTACTAAACTGTAGTCATATTAAAAGAAAATACCACTGAAGCATTAAGAGGATAAAAGGCAATGCATGTAACCTATTCATATGATCTAAGAAAAATAAATGTACATGCA